AACAAATGGTCTTCTCCTTCGCAGAACGATGGAAGGGATCCAACTTGTAGGTCCAATACCAAAGTTCTTCTTTAGCACATTGAAGTTGAGGACTATGTAAGTAAAACAATACATGAGATTTTGATTGGGAAGCCAATTCAAAATTGGTAACTTTTGTACTGGTTATTTTTTATTTGCAGTATCCTAAAGCGCAACCGGATAAACGGAACATTGGACTTTGGTACCATAAATAACATCCATATGGAGATTGCAGATTTACAATCCAATGAAATAACTGATTGTAAGCCACCAACTAATAAACGCATCCAAGTAACGTAAGTATTATATATGGTCACAAATCAAAATGATTCTTTTTCATCAATCAATTACTTATGTTAGTAAAATTTCCACAGTTTGGCAGATAATCCAGTGTGCAGGAGGTGGGGAACAGGCTTGAGTTATTGCTCAGCCGTCAACACCATTCCACATATTCTATCATCAAACAAATTGTTCTCCATATGATCGGTGATAAAGTACAAAATAATCGTATAATAAAGTCTAAAAAACCACATATCGATTGTATTGAATTTTTCTTTTCTTTTTATTTCTTGTGATTAGTGTTTGTGATGCAACAACATCTAATAATATGACGCCAATGTAACAATTGTTTGAACTGTTATTCATATTGGTTTTGGCTTTTTGTGTTACGTCTTTCAATTATTGTTTATTTTAATTTTAGATAAATTTGATGTTTCTCTTATTACCATACGTTTAGGATTTGATTTGGTGTTATACTTATACGTTTAGGTTGGATGTGATTTAAGATTTAGTTTCTACATAAGTTGTGCCTTTGGTTTCTTTTTATTACTAATAGCCACGCAAATAATCTACAAAAATACCAAATTAGTGATCATAATCATCATCATACATATCCAACAACACAAATTATGCTCAAAGTTATATCATTACAACAACATAAAACCATAATATAGAAACACAACTCAGAAACTTTTTCATCTATACTAAAAATGTCATCAAATCTGAAAATGACTAGGATGAGATTTGGTCATCCTTGTCTCACCAGCCGGTTCGTCATTATCAATCCTCTTAACAGTTTTGGTAAGCTGCATAAGCAATGACATAGAAGATAACAAGTATGATCATAACCACAATATTGATCACATATACTTTTCTCCCACTCATCTTCAAGCTACCAAGAACCCATGCTTTACAAGAGCTGCATTGGTAACAGAGTAGTCCCTGGTCATTGTTCCACAACATACATGAAGATGTAGCTGTTGTAGTAGTGACTTGTACCAGTCGTGAAGTATTACAGGTGGTTGTACGAGCGGAATGACTAAGCTTAAGGCCTCATGGGCTTGAAGAGTGGACTGGACCAAGCAAGGATGGATGTGACTTAATGCTCTAGGTGAGCTGGAGGCGTTCCTTGGAGAGTGAAGATGCAGCTAATTGAAGCGATGCCTGAAGCAGTTACGAAGTACTTCAGGAAGCGGTGCAAGCAGATGACGTGAAGTCTTGAGCGACGTGGGCTCAAGGAGATGGGCCGGACTGGGTGTGTGAAGTTAGCTTAGAGCCCAAGATGACACAACTAAGCTAGAAGATATTCTTGGAGAAGATCTAAGAAAATATACTTGGAGAGGATCCATGCAAGCTTGAAGACCTTCCTTATCTTGTGCTAAGAATAAGGAAGGAGAATATACTCACGAAGATTTGAAGAAATCAAGATCTTGCATGGACTAGGGATCAAGACTAGGTCTGGTCGTTTACCTATTGTGTATAAGTAGGTTAGAGTTAACTTGGGGATAAGTTATCACAATTAGAGCTTATGTCTTAGCAAAAAGGGATTCAAGGTTGTCTAGCAAAAAGGAGATCTTGAATCAAGGGGCTAAGGGGTAGAGAGTGGTTCACAAGATCATGTGTGACTTGTGAACGTGTGAGGCTATGATTGAAGTGTGAGTGAACTTGTAAGTGCACGAATCATTCGATCTAGTAAAGCGTTTTGAAGAAAAACCCCTTGTGTGTTGTGTTCGTTTTCTGTACCAGTATCTGCAGTAATCTCTGTAGTAGTAGCTGTTACATTTTCA